TCCGCCAGCGGCGCGCGCGTGGCCTGACGGTACCGCGGCTGCCAGCCTCCTCCGCTGGCTGACTGGCTGGGCGGCGGCACCTCGGCAGGGCGCGCCCGTCAGCCGGCGGCGGTGGACTGACCCCCGCCTGTCAGGTGGCGGGCGATGACACGCCCCGGCGCCGGCGGCTGTCGGCGCCGGTGGCGCGGCCGGGCCGCGGCGCCGCCGGACGCGCACGCCCCGGCCATCCGTCACACTTTGTCCGTCAGGTGTGTGACGGCCGGGCGTGGCGGCCGACTGCGGCTGGAGGGGCGCTGTGGGCAGCGCGAGAGCCGCCGGGCCAGGGCGGAGATCAGCCGTACTCGGGAGCACGTTTGTTGGCGAAATTCGAGGCGAGCTCCGTGAGAGTGTGGCGCTGTTCGTGTCACGTCCAAGATGTCCTTCAGACCGTCGTGCGCTCATCATGGGCGCGGCTCAGGCCGGCGCACCGGCTCCGCGCACGTTTTCCGATGGGACCGAGGACGCTCTGAAAAGCGGCCGTCTTGTCGCCGCGCAACCGTTTCCCAGGGCCTTGCACAACCCAGCAGCGGACCGCCGTGCGCTCGGCTTCCGTCGCCGGCGTCATTGCCCACAGCTAGTGACATGGGCCGCACAAAATCCGGAGCAGTCGGCGCGGCCGCCGGGTTCGGCCGGCTCGCTGCAGTAGTGTTTTCCCGGAACGTCGCGACGAGCCGTCCGTTTTTTCCCGTAGGACGGTCCGGACGGTCCGGACGGCGCCGTAGGACGGTCCGGCTGCGAGCCATCCCGCGCGCTCGCCGGCGTTTGTAACGGGGCGGCGGCGGCTGGAGCGGCCTAGTCGGCCGGAGCCGGCCTCGCCGGGGGCGGCCGGCTCCAGGTGTGGCACCCGAGGAGCTCGCGCCGACGACCGCGGCGTAGGACCAGGGCAGTGGGGATGGACGACAAAAACAGGCAATTCAGTTTGTTCTGCAGTCTCGTAAATGCAGGACGACTGATGTTTGAAGTAAACTTGTTCTCGTATGTGACGTGACAAGGAGGGAATACGAAAGCAGTTTTTTCGTGCCCATGTAATGTGAAAAAGACCGCTGGAAAAAGTGAGGAGAGCAAGTCTAATGATGAACTGTCGTTTTGTGCCCCTCGAATTCTTATTTTTCGGCGTCCAGTCACGGTTCGCCCGGGGGGGGGGGGGGGGGGGGGGTAGTCACAGTAGACTACTGGCACGTCAAGTTCGTACAGATAAACTAGCGGTAAACCAGAGTGAAAGTGATAATGAGTAGTCGATGAGAGAACATCATCTGTCTAATAAATTTCGTGTGCCAGGAGTTGGATTAACGTGAGCGTGGTGTAGCCCTAAATAAATTGGGAAAATACAATTATATTTCTCAGATAAATAATTTGTGAAAACATCAGACGCTAAATTGATACAGCACGCCACAAAAATCCGCACCTCGTGTTACGGCTGTAGTGTAGTGTGTACCGGTCAGCGGTTACTTTAGGTATTTGTGGCGCGAATAAAACAGGCATATAGCCGACAGATGTGCATATTTGAAAACCAGGGGCGCTTTGTAGAGATCGAGCATCATCCACACACACACACACACACGCACACACACACACGCACGCACGCACGCACGCGCGAATGTTCCGTGTTCCGGCGCTTGATTTATTGGGCACCTGGTCTCTTCGCTATCCCGCTTATTTCAGGTCCACACAAGCCGTCCATTTTCTCTCGATGCTTCATCAGTTTCTCTTCAGCATCCCTCTCGTTCCTTTTCCCTTTCATCTTCCTCGCCAGTCTCCCGTCATCTTTTCAACTCATATCAATCGATCTTTTCGACCGCCAGAAGCCTGGACCATGTCATTTGATGTGGCACCTGTCATTTGTTACCTTGTCAAGGCCGCTTCATTTGTTATTTCACCCAAAACCTTTCTTTTTCCTTCGGCGCCTGGTCGTGTCATGGAGCCACCATTTGACAGGATTTCATGCGTAGCCGCCAGTGAGGAGAAACCACCGCTCATGCTCACCAATCTGTCCCAAGGTGCGGGAAACGCCTCCAGTCACCGGTGGTGTACTGTCGGCCCAAGCCCGTTGTTTTGAGGTGGGCCAGTGTCCGCCCAGCGTGGCTGCCGCCGACTGCGTCGACCTGACCCAGTCTGCTGGGCGACGGCGCCGGCGAGCCGCTGGTCCTCTGGCCCGTCTGGTCCGGTCCTCCGGAGACGGTGGCAGACGTCGCGACCAAACCCGGTTTTCAACTCTATTCCTGTCATGCGTCACGAGAGGTGTGATTGTCACGCAGACGTGGAGGGTCAGTGCCCCTGACTCCCATCATTCCCTTGTCTGTCGCTGGAGAGACGGTGGGAGAACTCCGCCACCTCTTCGATTGAAGCCGACGGGAGCCGCTCGATGCTCCGATTGGAGATGGGCTTTCTGCGCCGCAGCACGCTCTGTCAAGCAGACCGGAAAAGACGGTTGAGATGCTCATTTTTGGAGCAATATGCCCTTTTGGATTGGTGCGATCCCCGGGGGCCGACAGCTGCGCCAGCCGCCCCAAGCTGACGGTCTCGTTCAGACAGCGGGCTCCATATCATTGGAGGGATGCCCTGAGTACGTTTGTTCGTGGCATGGGTCCACGCCGTTGTAAGCCACGTGACTTCCATGGCGATGCGCGTAGACTGGAGCGAGTTACGAAAGCGCGTGCTCCGCGTCCGCACGGCTGACGTTCGGAGTGTGTAGTGTGATAAGGCACGGTACGCGCTCCTGCATTCTAGCCACGTGCGCGTCACTGTCTACTTCATCTCTCATGCGCCGGAATCCCCTTGTGCGTGTAGGTGGTGGTGGTGTTGGTGGGGGGGGGGGGGGGGAGGGGGGCATGGCTGTCGCTCTGGGCACACCCATGTGGCCGAGGTCATCCCCCCCCGCCCCCACTCCCTCTACGCTTTCGTCTCTGCAAACAGTGGGTGTGCTATCGCATCGACGTGTCGCGCCGTCGTCGCCCGGCTGTTGACTTTTTACGCCCACCTCGCCTGTGGCCTATCTACTCATAGGACGGACCCGCGTCACGCCGCGCACGTGCCTTGTCGGCGGCGAGCTCTGCGCTGCGTGGTGTCGGTGGCTGCGGCGCTATGAGCGACACCATGTAGCCGCCATGGGGCGTCATATGTGATGCCACACTAGAAGCACAAGACACAGCACCATACAGCTCAAACATAGAAACAGGCGGTATCGCCTCGCGTGCAGAACATAGTCGCCTGCTAGCGCTTTGACCAGGTCCATGGGTTTGGCGTGTGGGGTAAACCATTTGAAGGATTATATCAAGTTCAAGTGGAAGTGAAGCGTATGCAGGCTGGATAACTTACGACCATAGGCCATAGCACTGGGTGTTTGCGTGCAGGTCAGGCTTGTGTACATTCAAATATAGTAGTGCATGTCACTTGAAGAGATTTGCGCTGCCGATGACGTTTCTAGCGGCATTTTTTCGCGAAAGAGTTTTCAGATTTCGTAGAAGTTACGTGGGTGAAGACGGCGAGTAGAGGCGCCATAAAACTGTCGGTCCATTTTTCTCTCCTCATTTTCCATTTGCGCACCGTTCATTTCGTGGAGACCATACGGAGACACCGATCGCGGTCGTTATCGTACCACCTGGTTGAAATCCGAGTAAAGTATAGTCTCTGTTCGCCCGTAGTTGGAAACCAAGACGCTGGGTTTCTGAAAATCACGTTCGCTTGCTTGCCCATGAAAGTTATTATTGTCGGCACCATTTCCGTGTTTGCTGCCTTGTCTGCGTTGCTGCCGCCCCGTACCTCCAGGAAGAGACATGCACAGCGTGGCGTGTTTCGGTCGTGTTCCATTCGCGGCGTGACCTCGTGACATGGAAACTGCGGTTGTGACTCCCCCGCGACGATCTGTCATCATCGGGCTCCACGCAGCTCCTGCCCGGTCCGCCAGCGCGGGATACGCCCGCCTCCATGCCACCGTTCCGCTGGCCGCCGGGGGCTACACAGCGGCCGCGCGCGCCCGCCCGGCCTCGGCCGCCCCACCGCACGAGTGGGTCGGCGATTGTGCGCCGACAAAGGCAGCCGCGTGCCGCGTGCCACGCCGGCCACGCGGCCCGCTCACTCAGAGACGGCGCCCGGCCTTTTTCACCGCGTGGCCGCCCGACCCGCCGCGAGTGTGAACGCTCGAGTGGCCGAACTCGGCGGCGCGCGAGGGACGCTTTTGAAGGCGTTCATAGTGCGCCACGACCTAGGCCTTTGTGTCGTTCGCGCACTTGGCTATGCATAGGTGACGTTCAATCGGACTGTGTTGTTGTCCAGTTTTTGGGCCGAGGCCGGCTGCTCGGCGCGGGGCACCAGCAGGCGGATGCGGGCTATTAGCGCGGCGCCGTCGCTGACGCGTGAGGTGCCGGGCGAAAGCGGAATGCCACGGCGTTTCGCCGCCTGGATCTGCATCTCTCCCCGAGTGGCGAGTCGCGGTCGGGAGCCATGCTGTGGCCGGGTGACAATAGTGTTTACAGGAAGCGGCAGCGGTTAAATTCCTCAGGTGCGTGATGTGCGCTGCTCGTGTGGTCAGACTGCAGGGCGCCGGCGGCGGCCGTCCGAACTGGAGGCAAACTGGCGTGTTCGTCAGATCTCGTCAATCCCAGTAGAGACCTCTTGAGCCCGATTTCCTCGCTCAATGCGCGTTTCAATAGACAACAAACTCGACAGCCACGCAGCAGCCACTGTCGGAAGCCGGCGCGCTGCCGTTTCAATAGACAACAATCTCGTCAGCCACGCAGCAGCCACTGTCGGAAGCCGGCGCGCTGCCGTTTCAATAGACAACAAACTCGTCAGCCACGCAGCAGCCACTGTCGGAAGCCAGCGCGCTGCCGTCGTGCGCGCTCACACGCCTCGACAAACGACCGGCCGGCGCCAGCCTGACTCCGCCGCTCCGTTCCAGGCGAAGACGTCCGTTGTCGCGGTCGACGAGCGCGCCGCCAGCGCGGCGAGCAGTGCCGCAGAAGGCGGCGGTTGGCGCGGCCAACGGCGCCGCCCCGACCACCAGTGAGTGCACCTGTCCGCTAATGAGGCGCCGTCACCCGGCGCGCGGCGCTAGACTGACGCCGGCTGGCGGCTGGCTATTAATTTGACGGTGGTCTGCGCGAGGGGCATGACCGCGAGGTGTCGCCCGCCCGGCTGGGCGGGGCCTCGGTCGCGTGAGCGGCGCTGGCCCACTGGCCGGGAGGGGCCGTGGAGAGATGACGCACCGCCGTCGACAGGCGCTGGACTCGACCTACGGTGGCTGGAACGAAAGCTGGCATGGGGTGGGTGCTTGTTCGGTGCTAACGGGACACACATTTACTGGGGGACGGTGCAACGCTGTGGGACGGCGCTGGACTGGCAGAGCTGGCTGCGATTGTCGTCGAACGAGGTGCTGGTGCTGCGGGTGGTGCTGTGCCGGTAGCTCGACTGGTTAACTGTGAGCTGAATAGTGCGCATGTGGGACGGACTGTGCGCAGAGCCGCCCATCCGCCCCGTCCTCCTCCGTCTCCTCCGGATGCTAACCGGAGGCGCCCGGGCCGAATATTAACCTGGATGAACGTGCCGTAGTCGTGGCATGCTGGTCGCCTGCCTGTGAATGGTCGCCGTCACCCGGCTGTGCCTGCTGAGCCCGGGTGGCGGCGGGCGGCTAGCGCGGCCTGCGGTGACGCTCCGCGCCCTGTGTCGCCCTCAGCGTCCCGTCGTCAGGTCAGGTACGCCCCAGGTCGCCCAAGCGCCGGCCCGCAGGCCATCGGGTAAACTAACGCTGCATACCGCCTCCGCCCGTCCTCAGCGCTTGCTTGCGATCTCATGCGCTTGCCGCGCTGTATTTGTGTGTGTGTTACGCCTGAGCTGCCCGCGTGTTTGCTGGCGCTGGCCAGGAGCGTCTCCGTTCGGTGTCATGTCGCTGTCGTCTCGTGCCAACAGTGGGGGCTCGTGCCGATGTCCGACGCTTGTGCACCGATTCATGTATTTATTCATGTAGTGCCTCTTGCCGCTTGAGTCTTTTACGCAATTTTTATCTATTACACCAGCAGGGACTCAGCTTTGCATGCGCAGTGAATCAGTGCCAAACTGTAGAGCTCGCTGGAGACCCCACCCCAGCCCCTACTCCCACGCAACAAGCGGGTGGCGCGCTCAGCGCCGCCGCGGCGCCTCGGCCGGCCGCAGGAGCGTCGGCGCCGGTCAGTGGAGCAGACGGCCATTTGTCATGCTCGTCAGCCGCCGGCCGCGTGCGCTCGCGCCGCCCGGCCGGCCGGCGCGCCGCCGTTACTCACCTGCGCCACTAATGGCGCGCTGCGCCGTGGCCGCCGCGGAGCCGCGGAGCGCGGGACTAGCTCGGGCGGCGGGGGCGGTGGGGCCTGGACCGGGCGCACTCATCGGAGGGAGGGGGTCCGAGTCCGCCGCACCCCGCGGGCCCGGACTGGCGAGCGCGGTGAGGGGATCAGCCCCGGCCTCGGCAATGGCAGAGCAGAGCGGAGGCGCGACCTGGCGTCAGCGCTGAAGGGGCGGGCCTGTGGGTGACGCATGGAATGGGGCGCATCAGCGAAGATTCATCGCGCTTTACCGGTTTCCGGGGAAGAACTCTTCCAGCTAGCGGGCTGGCGAGCGTGGCCGGCCGGAGAGTCCCCACCGTGCGCTGGCGAGCGGCTGGGGTGTGCTGCTGAGTCAGATGCCCATGGACCGAGTCAGGGCACCCGCTGGGTGGGGTCGACAGACGGCGCCGGTCCCGGTCGATGTCGATCGATTGCGCTCCCTCCACTCCATGAGGAGTCATTAACACTAGTTATGCGAGGGACTCGCGACGGCCGCCGACTTCAACCGCAGCATGATTCTGCTGGCGGGTTTCTGCGCCGGACCAGGTCCGTCGCCGTGAGCGTGTCGCAGCTGGCGATCCCCTCGCCAGTCCTGGCGTCTGTCTGCCTGCCCGCTCCCGCGTGATCCTGTGCTGCTCGATGCCGCCTGCGGAGTTGCCTCCCGTGTGTCGCCGCCCTCCCGCATGCCGCTTGTGCTATGAGGTCAGCTGACGGACTCCGGGTGTGCTGGCGACATGGCCGGCCCGCTGAGCGATGCCGTCGCGTCCTGCTTCCCACTGTCTCGACGGGCCGGTTCGGCGCTGGGCTAGTTTTTACAAGCTGACTGACGGTAGTTCGAGCTCGACGCGTCGCAGGTGTGATGGATCATGAGCACGGTGTTCAGCGCCGCTAATGGGGGTCATTAATTCGGTTTTCGTTTTTGCAATCGTTCGTCGTACAGTTCTTGCGAGTAACTCGCATGATCATGCTAATCTTCGGTCAGCGAATGCGTGTTTTGAAAACAAAGTGGCCGTTTTTGCGCAACGTCCTAAACAGCGGCATGATGGTACGGGAAAATGCACGACATTCTCTAACCAGACATCCTCCATGATATGCTTGTATTACGGTTTGTCAGCTCGCAGCGCTTCTGATCCGCCCGCTCATGTGAACAGCGCGCCTAACGCTTGTGCCACGCACTTGTGTCTGCCGGTGTCGCCGCTGGGCGGCGCCAGCATCTGTGTGCCCAACTAACTGCCTGTGCCCGCCACATACAGATGTCCGTGTGCGCCGTACGCCGTCGCTCGTCTCACGTCAGTCGTCTGCCACGTCATCAGTCTCAGGCACAGGTGAGCAGAGGGGGGGGGGGGGACTGGGGCTGGCCAAGCAGTCTTGGTCATGGGGGGCAATTTGAGCTCGGCGGCAGACTCGGGCATTCAGCTTGCCGGGCAGACTTCGGGATCGCGGATCTGCCCCGGTCATGCCGCATACCTCAGCTATGACCGCCGCCAGGGAAGGTGAAGCTTGCTTCGGCCAAGCCTACTGGTCATGAATACCAGCTTAGAAGTTGCACGATTCTCTTGCAACTGTGCTGCACTATCTTATGCGCTGTATAAGAAGATCTCTCAGCGTGCTTGAATGTTGGGGAACTCAAATCGTCCTGAAAGAGAAGCCAAAAAGCACTTGATGAAATCGTAAAGCGGCAATTTTACACATCACACCTACATTTCAATGCACCTGTTTTCCGCCCATCCTGTCGGGGAGCTGGTGGCGGCGGCTTCAGCAAAGGCCGAGTGCCGCGCCTCGGAGGCGCCGTTCCACGACTAATGGCCGCCCAGTTCCGGCCCGTCAGCCGCCGAGGCGGTGGGTGGGAGTCGGCGTGCCTTGCGTCGGACGGCGCCGTCGCGGGGCGTCGGCCGTCGTCGTCTGGGCGGCGGCTCACGGCGCCGGCCTCAATTGACGCCGTTCCAGAGGCCCGAGGCCCGTGACCGCCGCGCCGGCCGGAGCGGTGCGGCACAGGCAGCGGCGCCCGCCTGCTGCTCCCCCTGTTATGTAACGGCGTGTTCAGCTTATTTGATTCTGTCGGTCATCTCCACACTTTATTTTGTCCTAGACGCCTCCTTCGAGACCCCAGACGAGGGTTGTACAGGAGTCTGCGGGGCCACTGGCGGGTGCCCAGGCTCGGATGTGAGGTTGTGTTTGCGGTTTTAGCCGCATTTTTGTGCCCTTTTCGTAAACCATGGAAACCAGGGGCGGCTGCGCTTTGATGTAACCCTGGGGTAAATTTTGTGAGTGTTGCTTCACAGCGTGGCTTAGATTGTAGATTACCCCTGTATTTAACTGCGCCATGTTATTTTAACTGGCAAACAGATGACCGGGCTTGGTCATCATCCGCGAGTATCGCGCATGATGACCTTTTACTTTAAATGAACTCCCCGTTTTATTCAGTATAAAAGAACAAGAATTTAAAGATGACAGTTCGTGTGCACATGACATGACTTATGTGCTGTAGCAACATGGTAGGCCCACTGCATTAGTGCAGATGGTCAATTCTGTCTCTGCCCTTCCTCGTAAATGTGACGATTACGTATTCATCTGTCATGGCGGTTAGGGCGCTTCGGGAGTTTTAGTAGACATTGATGTGGTGACTTGGTACATTTTGACTTATCTGTTTCTAATTTGATTAAAACATTGTGTAACTCGGTGATATTTCTTTCGTAATCGCTATTATTTTTACATCTTCTTTCCAGCAGTGAGGCCACGGCCACGCCCGATTAAGCGTTTCCGTGGTTTGAAAGGCGGGGGTGGGGGGGGGGGGGGGGGGGGGTCCCGGCGGGCTCCCGAGTGACTGGAGAAGACCAGGGCCTCTGACGCCGTGATTTGACAGCGGGCCGCTGTGCGCCGCCACGCACGAGATGGTGCCGGCCGTGCTGGCGCAAGGTTGCAGCGGTACCGCCGCCATAAATCACCGAGACGCGGCCGCGGTGTCGGTGGTGACGGGGCCGGGGGAGCGCCCCGCGCCCATCCCGTCCAGGATGGGGCGCGCCTCGCAGATGACGTCATGGGTCAGGCGGCTGGTGAGAGGAGACCGGAAATGTCTGCGACTGCTCTGGCTGGCTGGACGCTAGAGGCGGGGAGGGGCTATACATATTGCATAGGCTTAAGGTATTCAACTGGTGACATGAATGCAGGTGCGGGCAACAAAGGACATACCATGATCGGTATCGCGTAGTGCCGCGTAGATCATCCATGGCTTTCATATGCGATCTGCGACTCGGGGATGATGAAATCGGGACCCCGGCCGTTGTTAAACCGGGGAGTGGTTCCCCGCTGGAGGTTATTTACCAGCGCCATCGGGCTGCCGGCGCGTCGCGTGCGACGCCATATTGGTGGAACATGGCCATGAAGTCCTAGCCGTCATTTCTCCCTCGGCATAGTTTTATTGATACCTCGTAATGCATTGTGACAAGAAACTTTTACGATGACAACGTCGCCTTGACTCAGTGGTTTTGATTGCGCATTACCGAACTTCTTCTGCCCAGGGGTCGTCGAGCTGCTATACTGACATCCGGGTAAATGCGATATATTCCCGTCAGTTGTCACATTTGTAATGAACTTGACATGACCAAGCATTAGTTTAAAATAAGTCGGGTATAGTGCTGCAGGTGCGCGTGACGTTTGTGGTCGTACCCGGTAGGGCTTCCTGCAGTGTCTGGCGGAACGGGACGGCCAGGAGCCCCCCCCCCCCTCCCCCTCTGCAGAGGCTCTAATGAATCGCCGGAGTCCTTGAGATGCTATCGCTCGTCTGACCTTGGCGGCGGGGTCGCCTATGGTCTGGTCGCCCGGCCCGTCCGCAGGTGCGACGCTCCTAGTCGCCCCCTCCCGCTTCCCGCCGACCTCTGTCCGGCAGGGCGCCTCGAAAAGAGGTCATCGTTTTATACCAACATCCCGCAGCATGGATGACGCTAACGTATTTGTGTTTCGTTGGCAAAGAAACCTGCAAATCGTACATCCAGTGAGAATGTTTCGGACTTGCGCACCGGGGACACAGGGGGATAGATTGCTGACGAAAGAATCTTCGCTGACTTCACTTGGATATTAGTACCGCCATATCTGGCGACCCTGCTCCCGGTGCTCAGCTATCCAGGCTGTATGCCCGTGCCCTGAACACCTTTGCCTCAGCCATGCTTGTTTCGGCGCAATATCGTCTGATGACCACAACGGTGGCCGGCCTTGTTCTTATAAGATGCGGGATTACTTAAATAGCCTGCGTGCGACATGTATCAGGTTTCCACCGGAAGTTTAACATCGAGGGGTTTTCGTGCTTCCTCGAGCCTGCTGAATCCCCTGACACACGAGTATCGCCACCGGGATAGGGGCCGGTCAGTGCGGGCGGAACACCAGCGCCGCCGGCACGTGCCGGGAGCGAATGCCCTCGATGTGTGAGCCAGCGCAGAGGCGAGCTGGTGCAGGAGGGCGACTGTGGCGACGTCGATCAGCGTATCAAACACCACAAACATCAACAGTCACGCAGTAGCGAGCTTCTGTTGTGGCAGCCGACAAACTGGATGAAAGACCGCCGGACTCAACGTCGATCTAGTCGATGGGGACATGTGATTGGCCTATTCGGCCGGTGATTTCGCCTGATGTTGTTGACATGACCTGTGGCGCACAGTTTCCCTAACAGTATCATGGGTGGTAGCCGGCCAATCTGACGATAGTTGATCTACTTCGTAAACACCCTGCGAAGTTTTGATAAAGCACTTAAGCAGTTAAGCTCTGGATGTATTCTCTCTGTCCACCCACATTAATGAACACTTGTTGCAGTGAATGCTCATTGCGTTGCATACCCATAATGCGGGCTAAATTGGCTTCAGCTAATACGTCTCATATTATCATATTGTATCATCGGTGGTCTCATAATGCAGCTAAATGGTGTCAGCTCAGAGTCCCAGTTAAATTAGTTATGTGATCAGTGTTGGGCGTAGTGACGCTACAACACTGCTAAGAGATGCTCATGATAGCATTGAGTGCCTGGTTAAACCGGAATAGTTAACCCGTATCGAACAGCAGGTTAAGCTAAGGTAAACTGCAACGTTGAACAGCAGTGGGGCGTGAACGGGCATCGGATGCACATTGTCAAAACGGCAACCCAATCCAGCTTTGCATGAATTTCCGTTGCATGCAACTAAGATAATCAGTATTCTGTGTACTAAAACCTGTTTTGGAATCATCCTAGATCATCGTAGGCCCAATAGTTTGTTTTCCTTTCATCTTATTCTTCTTACCACAAAGTACGTAAGCGGGTAAAAGAGATGCAAAACAGCCGGTAGAGGTTCAGACAGACACCAGTTATATACCTACGGTTCTACTCCCGTTCCGAACTCATCCTTCTGGGCTAATTATTCAGTGCGTGGAGCACTGGGTGCACACGTTTGACCTCCTGACGCCAGCGGTGGCAGCGCTGCCGCCCCCCCGCTCCCCGCCTCGTCCGTGGCGAGCCGTCAGCAGCGCGCGGCGCGGCGCGGCGCGGGCACCTCCGCCTCCTCCTCCCGTCCGTGGCGAGCGGTCAGCGGCGCGGGCACCTCCGCCTCCTCCTCCCCGCCCGCGTGCGGACGTCAGCGGGCGCAGGCACCTCCGCCGCCTCCTCCCGCCCGCGTGCGGATGTCAGCGGCGCGGGCACCTCCGCCTCCGCCTCCTCCCTCCCCGCGTGCGGAGTCAGCGGGCGCTGGGGTCCAGGGACTCGCCGCTGGGGGAGCGGTCGGCGGTGCTGTACGTGTCGGGGCCGGCTCGTTTGTTCGCACCGCGCGGCCGCGTGGGCGGCGGCGAGTATGGTGCCCGCCCGCCGCCTCCCACGCGCCGCCTGTTGTGCATGCATTTCCGGTTTGCTGACGGCAGCCCAGCGCTGCGCGGTTGGAGATGCGGAGGAGGAAGTGGCCACGTCATCGAGCCGCGCTCGGACAGATTTGTTGGCAGATGCGCAGGCCGTCTGTCGTGTTCTCATCTCTTGCATGCAATTGTCTCGATTTTTCTTGTCGCTTCCTTTGCTCGGTTAAATGCCTCGTTATCTGGTGCTCTCTGGCAAACAAAGGCCTTCTCCAGTCCTAAATTAGTTGCACGTAATCCCCTCCCCGCACTTAGTGTGTCAAACGGTACATTATGCCTTTCCCCGTGTCTCATGTCACGTGAGACATCGGGGAGACCCCGTTCCTCCTGTCCCCGGCTGATTGCAGTGCGACATCCTTAGCGGATAGGACCCGTTCTGCAGCCTATCAACAGCCCGCCCCTGCCTGACCCGTGCCGCGCTGCCACCGTCGCTGACCGCCCCGCTCCCTCCACCCCTTAGCGGCTGGCGCCATCGACGAGGCCACGTTCATCGCGTCGTTCGAGCAGGTGCCCAAGGTGCAGCTGTTCTCCGCCGCGCGACCTCGAGGACATCATGGTGAAGCTCCGCGAGACAATCAGCCAGCAGGGCAACGCCTGGGACGTGCGGACGGAGGCGGTGAGTGCCTGGGGGCGGCGGCGGTGGCACCGGCTGCTGCCGATGGAGCGAGCTGCTGATGAGGCAGCGAACCGGAAGGTGGCTGGGGCAGCGGCTGGTGAGGGTGGCCGGGGCAACGGCTGTGTGAGGGAGGCCAGGGCAGCGCTGGTGAGGGTGGCCGGGGCAGCGGCTGGTGAGGGTGGCCGGGGCAGCGGCTGGTGAGGGTGGCCGGGGTAGCGGCTGGTGAGGGTGGCCGGGGTAGCGGCTGGTGAGGGAGGCCGGGGCAGCGGCTGGTGAGGGAGGCCTGGGCAGCGGCTGGTGAGGGTGGCCGTGGCAGCGGCTGGTGAGTGGAGGCCGGGGCAGCGGCTGGTGAGGGAGGCCGGGGCAGCGGCTGGTGATGGTGGCCGGGGTAGCGGCTGGTGAGGGAGGCCGGGGCAGCGGCTGGTGATGGTGGCCGGGGACAGCGGCTGGTGAGGGAGGCCGGGGCAGCGGCTGGTGAGGGAGGCCGGGCAGCGGCTGGTGAGGGAGGCCGGGGCAGCGGCTGGTGATGGTGGCCGGGACAGTGGCTGGCGACATGCCGCGGGGCAGTGTCTTGCGGCGACCGCGGCCGGTGTGCCGCGCGCCCAGACCGCGTACCGGCTTACAGCAAGATCATTTCTGGTGACGGACTTTGGTGCTGGCGAGAAGTAGTCTAGAAGGTGGGCAGGGCTGGAGGGTTTGGACGACTGGAGAAGCTCGTCCCCCCGGTCGTGAGCTGGTCTTCTATCTGGGTCAGCTGGTCACGCGGTGCCGTGTGGCGCGGCGCGTCTGAGGCTGTGCTTGACTCCGTTCGCAGCTGAAGAAGGTCCGGGGCGTACTGATCGCCGGAGGCAGCCAACTTCGACGAGCTGTACCAGCACCTGCGGCTGATGGAGCCCGCCCTCCAGCTGACCCTGCGCGACCTCAGGTGAGCGCCTGGCGCATCGGGTCATAGTCCGAACTCCATACGAGAGGTCGGGGTGGGAATGTGCGTGAGGCCGGGTTACCTGGTGAGTGAGATCGGAATGGGGAGCCAGGTTATCAGGTGAGCGAGGTTGGGATGGGATGTATGTGGGGCCAGGCTGTCAGGTGAGCGCTCAGACCACCAGCTTTGGGCGGGTCTCGGGTGAGGGCGCAGGGCATCAACAGAGTGTCAGTAGAGATGCAGGGGTCATGTGAGTTGTCGAGAGAGGATCAGGCAGGGGGGGTGTGTTCGAATGCGGGGTGCATGGAATCACGTTTGCCTTAGTTATCGGGTGAGAGCACAGGGTCAGGTCAGGGTCGGGTGAGATGAGGATCTCACATAGCTCACCATGCCAAGTGTCGTGTGGTGGCTCATTGTTTATGGCAAATACGGGGTTGAAGCTGACGTTGCTGACAGAACCTCGCGTAACAGCCGCCTCAGCGTTTCGTGAAACTCTGGGTAGGGCCATGGTCCATAGAAACGGCGGGCGGTGCCCAGACGCATAAGTCCGTGTCAATGCTGAGAATACTGACACTGCTATATGACTGGGATGACGGTGGGTGTGAAGGCGGGGTCATTTGGTGACCGCTGGGTTTCTCGGCGGATTTGGGACAGTCGGTTGGGCCATACGTGGCTTTTCGCTGACGAAGAGCCAGAGTCAGCCAGCGAAGAACCATTGGTCCCATTCCACGCAGAAATCGGGTAGGGTGACGATGAATCGTATCAATGACCGGACGGCAAGGTAGAAAAGATACAGTATGATATATACTTTTGGTTTAAACTACTGTTTTAAGATCTTGTAAAAAGCTACTACTGCTCTAAGTTTGTCTTAGAATATGCACAGATCGATTTCTAGTGAAACCTCGGACATCTTGGGTCAGTCAAAGGCGGGCTCAGAATGGCGATCTCGACCGTCAGTAGCAATTGTTAGTAGCGCAACCTTCATGGAGACTTTACCGCCGATCCAGCACCCGGGGCCGTCTGGCTCAGCCCCGTTGTAGAAGGCGCCCCTTATTTGGCGCCGTGTTCGCATTGAGCTGGTGGTCCGGTCAGCAGCCTTTGTCGGCTTGAACTGCATTTATAATGGTATTCAAAGCAGGTAATCGAGCATGCAGCGCTGGGCCGACCGTACGAAGTCACCGGACGCGCCAGACGAGGGTCCCGTCTGGAAAGAGGAGCTGCTGTTTGTTTTGAGCATGCACGGCTTGGGTGAACGCCTTTCTGGTGGGCCATTCGTGCATCGGAGGAAGGCGCATCACTACAAGTCCATGGTTGGCTCCGCAAAGGGCAACTTGAACGCATAATGCAATCTGGGATCGTTGACGGACAGATGTGTGACGCAAGTTCAGCCCTCGCCCCAGAAGTCAGCTGGTCACTGATAGTCGCAGTCATGAGAAGAGGGCAATAAAGCACTTGAGAGCCTATCTGTGGATCACAAAGCACCTTGAAGCGCGTGGCTCGACTTCAAGGAAATCGCTTTGGCGCCCCATAAATTAAGCCCGTATTACCGAACAATCAAATGATGTCATCTGATCGGGACGGGCAGTCTCTTTAGTGCTTTCACCAGACGTGTTCCATTCGCGCCGATACGTGACGCCTGGTATCAGTATGACCTGACAGTTAAGTCGAAGGCTGTATGCACGGTCCGTACAGCGTAAGGCGGGATGTTGCCAGCCTTCCATGCCGCCGCGCCGTGGCTGATCCTGCCGTCGGAACGGGCTGCGTCAGGGGACGCTGTCTGATATGTCCGACTGCTGGATCAATAACTAATCTAGCCTGGAGTGCCACTCCATTAAGTGCAGAAATGACGCTGAAATGCCGTTTTATTAGTACTAACCCCAGTGTAGAACCCTCAGTAGGGATTATCTCTCAAATTAGACGTGTATACGTGATGTATGCATGACGATTTGTGCAGGACACATGCATTGACAGTAAGTCTATGAAAGAACTGTACCCACAGTAAAGACCCGTGCAATATGCCTCAACTCACGTCCATTTTGGGAGCCACATCAGGCCAATTTTGGAGGGCTGGCCGGCTGGACAAAATGCATCGTCGATTTGAGCATGGGAAACTTTCGTTGCAGAGCTCGACCCAGCCTTGGTTGGCGTTGACGGGCTGTGGTCCGTACCCTCAGGTCGCAGGCAGACCTGGTTGGCGTTGACGGGCTGTGGTCCGTACCTCAGGTCGCAGGCAGACCTGGGTTGACGTTGACGAGGTCTGTGTTCCGTGCCGCAGGTCACAGGCAGACCTGGGTGACGCTGACGGGGCTGTGTTCCGTGCCGCAGGTCACAGGTGGTGCGGGAGGGGTGCATCACAGTGGCGTACCTCTCGCAGCAGCTGGGCCACCGTGTGGACCACGTCCTGCCACTCGCTGCTACCCTACCTCATCGAGCTGATCCCCAACAGCGCCAAGGTTCGTCACGACCGCCCCGACCGTGCCGGCCATGGGGCCGTAAGCGATAGAACTGGAGACAAACGCGTGCCATGTTTGTGCTGAATGTTTCAAATCCAGATATAAGGACACAAGGCAGAATCGAGGGGCGGTCTCGCTGGGCCTATATCAACAACTCGGCATCGTGGGCACTTCTTGTTTAGGTTGCCGGCGCGCTGTGTCATCAAGTGCTGGCCCCACATATCCCGTCAAACGCCAGCGCCGCCCTCAAACCTGCCCATCGCGCCGAGGTGTCGCCTCCCCCGCCCGGCAAGGTGACGCCCACTACCCTCTCAACAACTCAACAAATCCCCCCCCCCCCCCCCGAACCCCATACTATCTCAAATCAGCCGAAGGCTCGTGGATCTGCCCTTCACTCCACCCCCCCTCATCTCGGTGACGCCTACACTCGCACGCCGAGTGTCATGGATCTACCTCCTCCCCCCAACTCTCTCAAGGTGACGCTCCAATCACACGCCGAGTGTCGTGATCTACCCTTCACTCCCCCCCCCTCTCTCCAGGTGACCGCCTCCACCCCCACGCCGAGGTCGTAGATCTACCTTCACTCCCCCCCCCTCTCCAGGTGACGCCTCCACTCACCACGCGAGTGTCGTAGATCTACCCTTCACTCCCCCCCCCTCTCCAGCTGATGCCTCTACACGCAAGCCAAGTGTTGCCCCCCCCCCCCCCCTCCCGCAGGTGTTGCCTTCCACTCGCAGGCTGAGTGTTGCAGACCCACCCTCTCACCTCATCCCACCTCACCTCACCTTGTCGCCTCACCCCCATCCTCCTCTTCCTGCAGGTGATGTCGACCTCGGGCGTGGTGGCGATCCGCTTCATCATCCCAGAACACGCACTACGCCAAGCTGGTGCCGGTCGTGACCGACCAGATGACGAGCAAGGCGCGCGAGATCCGGCGCGCCTGCCAGCGAGTTCCTCGAGCAGATGATCACCAGCTGGCCCACCCAGGTGCTGGAGAAGCACGTGGCCGCCGTGCAGGAGGCGATACGGCGCGGCGTCGGCGACGCGGACAACGAATGTGCGCGCCATCAGCCGCAGGTGGGAGCGCGGGGCCGGGGAGGGACGGGCGTTCCACGTGCTGCTGACGCCCACGGCGGCGTGCTTTGAGGCGCTGGAAATGTTGTTTGCACTGACGTCGCCTGTTGCCAATTTTCCGCCTGAATTGTGTCGTTTCGCGTGGAGTGAGCCTTCTGGTGCGGGCTGGTGGTCTTGATGTATTGGCTTCATCTTAAATATCTTTTTTTTTAAACCGGAGCGGGTCTGGTTTGGGTCAGACGCCTGCGTCATGCGGCCACCGCTTCGGGCGCTGGTCATGCGGGGGCCGCAACCGCCTCTGCCTCAGCCCGTCTGGACGCGGGCACACCCGCTGCCTGTGTGCCTGTGCTGACCAGTCGGGGCTGTGGCCAGGGCGTACTGGGGATTCGCCGACCACTTCAAGGAGCAGGCGGACTCGCTGCTCAACTCGCTGGACGCGCAGCACAAGAAGACGCTAGCCGGCGAGATGAGCAAGTCTGGCAGCAACAACTCGCTCACTGCGCCGGGTGAGTGAACGCCGGAATAGAGCTGAAGCCACGTCGCGCGATGGGGAAGTGGTGTAACGTAGGGAGATGGTGCTGCCACGCCAGCGGCGTAACGTCACACTCTCGGACAAAACTGTAGTGTGATGGCCTGTGCTGACCAGAGCCGCTCTGTCCTCGGCAGTGTCAGGTCGCAGCGCGCTGGGCTCGCGCTCGCGCACCTCGTCCCGCTCCGGCAGCCAGGAGAACCTCAGCCGGACGGGCTCGATCTCGCGCCGCTCGGCCATCCCGCTGGCCAGCCCGGCCGGCCGACACGAGCGGCGTTACGGTGCACGGCGCGGCCGGCGGCGCGCTGCCATGTGCGTCACGGTCCCCAGCGGCCGCCGGCGGTCGGGACAGCTCCCGGTTTCTGTCTGGCTGCTGATCGGGCTGATCGATTGCTGGTGCGCAGGGCTCGCCGGCCATTGCGGTCGTTGTGGTCCGCTGCCTGCTCGCCGCTGCTTCTAGCGAGCCGCGCGAGGCTCCTTGTTCACGCAGCCCCTATGGTGAGCAGCCTCCGCCTGTCTGTCCCGTCTGCCGCGTCCCACACACCACCGGCTCAGTCGCCACTCCCCGTTCGAGGGACAGACAGAGTTAGAGAGGGAGAGAGAAAGAGAGCGCGCGTGTCAGCGGTGTCCGCGGCCCGCAGGCGAGTCGGCCGTCGCAGTCGTCGCTCCGCTTCCACGTCGGCCATCGACCTGCAGGCGGCGCAGCGGGCCCGCGCGCGCGCCCAGTACCGCCGCCGCACAGCGCATGCGCGTCGGCTCCGGCGTCAGTCTGCGTGAGTACCGCCTGGGGCCCGGCCGCCGCCGGCGGACGCGGGGCCGACAGACTCTGGAGTGTTGACCTCGAGGGTGGAGGCCCAGAGGGGGTCGGGAGGAGGGGCCGAGCTCAGAGGCGGTCGCGAGGTGATCCCGGGCTCAGAGGGGTCGCGAAGAGAGCTCGGCTCTGAGTGGTCGGGAGGAATGCTCGGGCTTAGATAAGTCTGGAGAAGAGCCCGAGATCAGAGGGGGGTGGGGAGGAAAGCCCCGACTCAGAGTGGTCGGGAGGAGAGCCCGGGCTCAGAGGGGGTCGGGAGGAGAGTCCGGGCTCAGATAGAGTCAGGAGCGAGAGCCCGAGGTCAGAGTGGTCGGGAGGAGAGGCCCGGGCTCAGATGGGATCGGGAGGAGAACCCTGGCTCCGGCCCGTTGGGTGGGAGATGTGGCCGGAGTCCGGCCTCCCGCTGGCTGCAGAGGGCGGCGTCATATTGTGCAGCCCGACCAAAGCAATCTCGCGAAATTTCTGAGCGACAGCCAGCAGGGAGGCCACCCTGTGCTGGCGCCTGTGCGAATCTTATCTGCTGATTCTATCCACCTCAATCGAGATGCTGCCGTCCTTGCCCCAATTCGATAAAGCGGCGGCCTTGTGTCGCCTGAGCACATGAGTTTCGTAACAATGTTGTGATGCGCACTTGCTTTAGACCGGAATTGGCCGTTTGCTCTCGTTTAACCCCGTGTACTTCTTTTGTGAAGATCGAGGGTCCACGTGAGCCGTACCGATCTTTTAATAAAGATGTTGAGTGTCGCTGGCACGTCTGGGTGCCGTGACAATCCATGCATCGTTTCTCGCTGCCGGGATTGTTAGGCGACAGCGGCAGCAAGGACGGTGGGTGCGCGAAACGTGTATGCATGGTGTATCGAATGTTCATGTGAGCTGGTGCTCGCGTACGGCTTGCACGCAACGTTACAAGAGCGCTCATGTTTGTGTCTGCCCGGCGTATGAGGATGATGCGGGCCTTGGGATGTTGCGACTATCCGCCCAATTAGTACCCATCCGGCATTGCAAGTACGCGCTCTGCATGAGCTACCAGTGCTTGGCACCTCCAGCCGTTTTCGGCTGGCTCCTTGCACTCGCAGAACACAGGTTGTCGTAGCTATGCTGTAGCTGTAGTGCGATGTGGCGAACGCTTCTGGAGGAATTCCCTCGGCACGACGCCTGGCCTGAACGTCCGAGCCACTCGTTGTCAGCTGGTACTGCTGGCTTGACGGCTGGATCGGTCGCCTCCTGCCTGTTCAGTGTCGTGTCGTCTCGCTTGCGTCCGCCGGGGCGAGCCGGCGGCGACGTCAACGCGCGCGCCTGACCGCGACGCGGCGCGTTCTGTCCACCAGCTCGGCCGCGTAGGCTGTCGTGCCGCCACGCCGCCGCCGCGCGGTCCGCCTCCTGTCGGCGCCTCGCCGGACGCCGCCCGCACCGCCCCGCACCCGCTCGCGGCTCCGGCGTGACGCAGGAGTCAGCGTGAGTACCGGGCCGCGCTGATCGGCGGCACCCGCGGTCTGATATCACGCAGAGAGCTCGCGTCCCGGCGTGACGCAGTCAGCGTGAGTACCGGGCCGCGCTGATCGGCCGCACCCCGCGCGCTGATGTCGCACCAACAAACAGCTCCAGGCCAGGCCCCGCCTGTCCTGAGGCTCAAGAGTCCCAGTCCGCACGTAGGGTTCATCATCGATGCACAGGTACCGTTATGGCCACATAGGTCGTTTCAGCACGATTCGTGTACCTCTGTGAGTGCTCCTCGCGCGTTGGCAGCATGCCAGGCTGGCTGTGCTCAGTCGGGACTCTCGGTGTGAGCCAGAGCCGCGTGTTGGAGCATGCCGTGTCGGGTACGTTTTACCTGTCAGTGCATTTGTCGGTTGGCGCCTTGCGCCACCCGAAAGGCCTCGTTTTCCCCCTTTACTTTAGTCGGGCATGGAAAGTAAGTTTCCGGAATAGTACAGCAGACGACTCCGTATTTGTGGCTCCATGCCGCAAGCATGTTGCCAAGTGGGAAGAACGCGCCGATGTATCCAGACGGCGGACGCTGTGTGTGCCGCATCTCACCTTTGGTGCGTCTCCGTACCCCCTGGTCTGACCTGACCTGACCTCGGCAGCGGGCAGCCGGAGCGGCTCGCCATCCTCCCCGGCTCAGCTACGCCACCTACACGACGGCGGCGGGCGTCCCCCGGTCGACTCGCAGACGCTGGGCCGGCGGCGGCGGCGGCTCCGGCATACCACGCTCGACGGGCACCCTCGCGCGAGCCGTCGCACGCACCGGGCGGGCCGCCACCGGGCCCGGCGCCGCCGCACTGCGCGCCAGGTGAGCGGTCGAGACTGGAAGCTAGAGAGACTGGAGGCAGGGCGCCAGCGGGCGGGCGGGCGGAGGGGAGGCTGGGTGTCCAGCAGCGGACGGCGGAGGGGAGGCTGGGTGGCAGCGCCGGGCGGGCGGAGGGGAGCCAGGGGTGACAGCGGCGGAGAGGTGGCTGGGTGTCAGCAGCGGGCGGCGGAGGGGAGGCTGGGTGTCAGCAACGGACGGGCGGAAGGGAGGCTGGTGTTAGCAGCGGGCGGCGGAGGGAGGCTGGGTGTCAGCAAGCGGACGGCGGAGGGAAGGCTGGGGTGACAGCGCCGGGCGGCGGAGGGGAGCCAGGATGACAGCGCCTGGCGGCGGAGAGGAGGTTGGGTGTCAGCAGCGGGCGGCGGAGGGAGGCTGGGTTCAGCATCGGGCGGCGGAGAGGAGGCTGGGATGTCACCAACGGGCGGCGGAGAGGAGCCAGGGTGACAGCGCCGGGCGGCGGAGGGGAGGTCGGGTTGTCAGCAGCGGGCGGCGGAGGGGAGGCTGGGTGTCAGCAGCGGGCGGCGGAGGGAGGCTGGGTGTCTCCAACGGGCGGCGGGCGGCGGAGGGGAGGCGAGCTGTCAGCGGCCAGGCGGTGGGCGGCAGGGTGGGGGGGGGGGGGGGGGCAGGATGTCAGTGGCGGACGGCGGAGGGGAGACGGGACGTTAGCTGGCGGTGGCCGCTGCCCAGGTGCGGGCGCCCGTGCAGTCGCGGGACTGGGCTGCCGCCAAGCGGACTGGGGAGCGTGCTGTGTCCGCGGCACAGCGATGGCCGTCAGGCATGACGCCGATTACAGCACTCGACGGTCAGCTTACGGCTGTGGGCTGATTGTTCAGACAGCCTGTTGCTCACAGGATGCCCCAATTGGCTCAATTTGTATGCTGCAGTCACGTGTGCATGGGGTCTGCGACCCTCAGTGGCCGTGCGAAGGCCGGTTTTTCCATCAGCGGCCTCGGGCGGATGGGATGAGGCACGTCTGATGACTCTGTTTATGTATTGGTGTCTGCACGGCGTGGCTGCTAGGCTTTTTGATATTCCGACGCGACTTCACGCTTCGAAAGACGTAGGTAGTTCTAAATGCCATTCACCCCGCCTGGTAAATACCGTTAGCCGGCGTCCGCTGTAGTCGGCCTGGGTGGCGCCGTGATGACACGACCTGCCGCCCCCCGGCTGGAGGTGGTGACCCGTCCCTCTGTCGGCAGGCCGTCGACAGGCGGCTGGGCCGGCCTGGGTGGCACCGGTCGGCCCGGCATGAGTCACAAGATCCTGCAGCAGAGCCGCGACGCCGAGTCTGCGCTGGCCGACGCGCTGGTGAGGCTCGCCCGCTGCCTCCGCGCCGGCCCGGCCGGGGTCCCGGCTGACCCGCACACCGGCCGAGGACGGACTCTGGGCCCTGCGGCGTCTGTTTGACAAACTGTTACGGAGGTTGCGCCTCGCGAGCTGGCCGGCAGAGGCGTCTTTGGGGAACGCTCTGTACCTGCGTCTCGGTCAGGGGCGCACCATGTACGTCTGTCCACAGCGGTGCTGTGGCTATGTTCTGTCACATCCGTCAAAAGCCCAAGCACTCAGCTGCAGAGCATTTCTCTCGTCGCACTGTTGGGGCATCACGGTTCCTGTCCTTGGTTGTGATGAAACGGTCCGCTTGTCAGTCTCTTGGCCCTGGCCCCTGTCCCTGTCCCTGTCCCTGTCTGTCTGTCGCTTTCCCTGTCCCTGTCCGTGTCCGTGTCCGTTTCCGTGTCCGTGTCCGTGTCCGTGTCCCAGTCCATTTTCCCTCCCCCGTTCCCCGCTGACTGACGGGCGGCCATGTGTCCGCAGGCGACGACGCGCTCCCGGCCGGCCCGCCCCTGTGACGACCGTTCGGACGAGAGCGAGACGAGCAGCGTCTGCTCGGAGCGCTCTTACGACTCGGCACACCGACGCGATGTGAGTAGCGCGTACTCCCCTCGCTCTCTCCGCCCGCTGGCGCTACCCTCACCCGGGCCCCATCTCTGCATGTTCTCTCCGCCCCAACTCGCTCCCATTGCTTCCGTTTCTCTCGTCCGGGCTCGCCATGCTCTCACTCTCACCTCTCTCGCTCTCGCCGTCCCCCACGCGCTCTCCCTCGTCTCGCTGTCCGTGTCGTTTGTGCGCGCTCCGAGCTCTCCCCCGTGCTGGCGGCGGGGCGTCTCGCGCAGAGTCGGACCGGCCGCGGCCGATCGATCACTGGACCTCTGAGAGGCAGCTGGGCGGTGCTGACCTCCCTCTGTCCTTCCGTCCAGCTCTGCCTCGTGCTGACCTTATTAAGGGACGGGAGGGGAGGGGCGATCGACCAGGCCGTGCTGGGCTTCCCGGGCTCGGCTTGCTCCGCACCGAATGTCTGTCTGGGACTGGGGCTTCCAGAGCCGGCGGACGGTTGGTTGTTGTTATGGAGGCGAGTTGCTAGTCTTAACGCGATGGTTTTTTGTTTTTGTCGTCGGGTTGTGCCGTTTGCTGAGCCTGACTCCGTCGGGCATTAGCGCCTGCTGATTGAGCATCTTACATCGTGCAATGTTTTGCGTCTGAATGTGTCGCCACCCATCCGCGTGCTCTTACCGGCTCACCCACCGTTTGTAGAGGAAGTCCCTCGCCCGCTGTATTGCGTGCCTCTGGCCGATCTCGGCCGGACCGAAACGCTGCGTCTCTCGTATGACGCGGTGTGTCCGTTGTCGGTGTGTCGTGTGTCGGAGGTCCGCTGTCCGGAGTCTGTGTGCCGACGCCTGACCGTGTCTCGTCTGCCTCCCGGCGCGGCGGTCGGCAGTACGCCGGCGGCTGGTCCGGGGTGCCTTACGGCCAGCAGTCCAACCGACTGCGCAGCGTTGCGCGAGCCCAGCGGGACGGGTACGTAACCCCTGCCTCGGACCCCCGGCCCCCAGTCCGCCGACCCCCGCCTCTTTCAGCGTGGCGGGACCCCAGCCTGCGTTGGACAGGTCACAGAACGTCACACCGTGAGACAACTCGCCAGGCTCATCGCGTTGGTCAGTGGCTGCTGCGTAACGGCGTGTCATGTGCCGACAGCACCATCTCACGGATCGTGAAGTCTGCCGTCGCGCTCGCATGTTGACCCGCGCCGCGATGCCCCGTGCTCCCCATGACCAGAGCGCCGGCCCTCCGCGGACCCGGCGAGCGGTACGAGACGCGCGCGCACGGGCGGCGAGCCGGCCAGCTCGGCTCATCCCCGGCCGTCTCCGCCCCGCAGGACGTCAGTGAAGTGATCAACCTGATCGCGTCGACCGAGTGGTCGGACCGCAAGGAGGGCCTGCTTTCGTTCCGCACCGTGCTGCGGTCTAACCGCATGCTGACCGCCTCCGAGCTGCATCGCGTCACCGAGCTCTTCACCAAGATGTTCATGGACACGCACACCAAGGTGGGCTCCCAGCGGCCGGCCGCGCGTCTGGGGCGCACGCGCTGACGGGTCGAGCTGGCGCAGTTGGTGGTTCAGGGAAGTGGAAGCGACGAGCGTGCCTTTGTGAACAGCATGCTCCCCTGTACTGAGACGCACAAAGTGGAGTTTTTTCGTTCATTTTGCCGTTTCTCCCGTCTTAAGTTATTTGTGGCCACGTCGGTGTTTGCCCATACTTCATTCCCGTTCCGTTACCATGCTGCTGTTAATGTCAGCATCTTGTCTTCCTTGTCCATGCCTTCCTCCCCGTGCCGCGTGGGCCCTGCGCATCATCATGCGGTCTGTGTGCCGTCGCAGGTGTTCAGCATCTTCCTGGAGGCGGTGCAGGAGCTGGTGGTGCAGCACCACGACGACCTGGCCGATTGGCTGTACATCCTGATCACGCGGCTGCTGAACAAGCTGGGCGCCGACCTGCTCGGCTCGGTGGTGCAGAAGCTGGAGCGCACGCTCGACAACAGTCAGGTGGGCGGCGCTCTGTGTGGTCGCACGGCCCGGCGCGGCCCGGCACGGCCCTGTGCGGCCCGGTGCGGCCCTGTGCGGCCCGGCGCGGCCCGGTGCGGCCCGACGCGGCCCGGCACGGCCCTGTGCGGCCGGCGGCGGCGTGCTGCGGCTGCTTGGTGGTTTGGCCGCCGCCAGGGGTGGTGGAAACGGCAGGGATGTGGTGTGATGCGCGGCAGAGCGTCTGCGTCGTCGGTGGATCGTTATGCTGCTCAGTGGCATTCAGCTTCAACCCGCCACCATTGTGATAAATTGGGCGTCGTACTGATTTGGGGACGGACAATCTTCTTCTGCCAAAAGCATGCTTGCACAACTCACCGATGACACTCAGTGTGCTTCGCCGATGCTGCTGCATGACAACTGCCACGCCCGGAGACTGGAGACAGCCAGACAACAGACATATACAGTGACAGCTCGGGTCTGACGTGGACCGGCGGTCGCAGGGTGTCATTTCCGGCCGGCATGCAGCTGCGCTGCCTGTGCCGCTTCCTGCTGGACCAGACGCAGACGCCCAACACGAAAGTGAAGGCGGCCACGCTGCGGTACCTGCGCGGCCCTGCTCGAGAGCATGGACCCGGCGGAGTTCGCTGTCGACGCTGACCTGCCGCTGGCCGTCACCAAGGTACGGGCTGGTCGCGAGGCGCGGACACTGCTGCTGGCCGTCGCCGAGGCACGGGCTGGTCGCTGGGTGTCGCTGAGGCGCGGAAAACTGCTGCTGACTGCCGATAGGGTACGGAGCGTGGCAGGGACTGTCGCTAAACGTACGGGATGTGACAGGGGCTGTCGGTAGGGTACGGAATATGACAGGGACTGTCGCTAGGATACGGAATATGACCGGGATTGTCGCTATGGTACGGGACTTCACAGAGACTGTCGTTAGGGTATGGGACATGACAGGAACTTTCGCTAGGGTACGGGGCATGACGGGCTATCGCTAGGGTACGGGATGGGACAGCGGCTGTCGCTAGGGTACGGGGCATGACAGGGGCTATCGCTGGGGTACGGGATGTGACAGGGGCTGTCGCTAGGGTACGGGGCTTGACAGGGGCTATCGCTAGGGTACGAGATGTGACAGGGGCTGCCGCTAGGGTACGGGAAAGTGACACCGGCATTTCGGCAGTTCCACCTTGCGGAGCATTTCAGCATTTCGGTAGCTCCACATTTAACCACCAGGAGCACTGGCGGCTCCTCGTGGTTAAATGTGTCACTGGGACTGGGTGGTGTACAGCGCCCTGACCGGAGTGGCTTACTGTCGGCAGATCATCGGCTGGACGAGCGACCAGAAGTCGGTGGAGACACGCAACGGTGCCAAAGCAGTGATCGTAGCCATGTTCGACCTGAACACAGCCGAGTTCACTATGCTTCTGTCGCAGCTATCCAAGATGTACCAGGTGAGGTGGAACGGCTGGGGCTACGGGCCAGTAGTATTCTCCCCTCCAAGTAACAGAGGGTGGTCGGCATGTCCACTGATGGCAGCGTTTGACTCACCACGGCTGGCTGCTGTCAAGCCTCAGGCTCTACGTCGTCGCGCACCCCGTACCTGCGAACGTCCACGGCTTGCCAAGCCTCAGATTCTGTCCGCGTAATCCTCGCTTGCGAACGTTTGCGCCGCCCCACCTCTGACGCGGCTGCCTCGGCCAGGACACGGCGTCCGACATCATGCAGCAGCACATGCGGCGGCGGGCCAGCGTGGACCAATCGGCGGCGCTGATGCGCGCCCGCTCGCCCTGCTCGTCCAATGGTGGCTCGCCGGGCCCGCGCGGTCCCGCGCGGCCGCGCCTGGCGCCCAGCGACGCGGAGAACCTCCATCCGGAGGAGATTAGCAGGTGGGCGGCTGGAGCGGAGGGCGCCGGCCTGGGCGCGTTTCGAGGGCGTGCTTATGTCATCGCCCATCCTGCTCAGCTTGGGGTATGTAAATATTTGATGCACCCTGAAGCAGTAATACACAAACAATGGTTAGCGGGAAAGCTGATATCAGCCAGTTGGGTTGGGCTGGTTGGGTTAGCGGTCCTCTCGGTTAGCCTCGCCCACCTATTGTTCGCGTGGACCACCTGTAGCCACCAGCAGAGGCAGGGAGCAGCAGGTGCTGTCCCCGCCGAATTGGCCACTTCCACGCCTCTCATTGGTATTGAGCGTTTGCCCGCAGGTATGCGGCCCCAGCCCCATCCAGGCTATGGAGGCCCGCCGACTCGCCGGTCTCGTACCGCCTCCTCTCGCCCTCGTCACCCCTGGCCCTTTGTATTGCTGACCCGGGGTCTTGCACCGCCTCCTCTCACCCTTCGCCACCCTGGCTCTCCGTATCGCTGACCCGAAGTCTTGTACTGCCCCCTCTCACGACCCGCCACCCCTGACCCTCCGTACCGCTAACCCGGGGTCATGTACCGCCTCCCCCCACCTTTCGCCACCCTCAACTCTCTGTACTGCCCAGGTCGCTGCGCCGCGGTCCGGCCGAGATACCGGGCGGCGGCCTGGACGGCCCGGACGGTACGAAGCGAGAGCGCGACTCGACGTCGCAGGACTCGGGTATCAGCCAGATGTCGCTGCCGCTGGAGCGACGCGGCTCGCCGGCCGGCCGGCCGCCCGCCGCCGGCGAGCCGCCGGCCGACGAGCAGGCGCTCGTGGCGTCGGTGCGCGCCGAGCTGAACGTGGAGCGGCCGCCGGAGCCGGCGGCGCCCGAGCGGCGCGCCGCCCTCATCACCGTCTGCCGGCTGGCGAAGCTGGGCTCCGAGCGGCTCTGGAGCGAGCACTTCAGGTGAGAAGGCGGCACCCGCACCCGCCGGCATCCGGACCGAGGCGGTCCACAGCTGGCTGGGGAACTGAAAACGGACCGAGGCGGTCCACAGCTGGCTGGGAAGCTGAGGACGGACTTAGGCCGTCCACGGCTGGCTGGGGAGCCGGGGACGGACCGAGGCGGTCCACAGCTGGCCGGGGAGCCGGGGACGGACCGAGGCGGTCCACAGCTGGCCGGGGAGCCGGGGACGGACCGAGGCGGTCCACAGCTGGCCGGAGAGCTGGGGACGGACCGAGGCGGTCCACAGCTGGCCGGAGAGCCGGGGACGGACCGAGGCGGTCCACAGCTGGCCGGGGAGCCGGGGACGGACCGAGGCGGTCCACAGGGCGGGAGCTGGGGACGGACCGAGGCGGTCCACAGCTGGCGGGACGGGACGGACGAGGCGGTCCACAGGCTGGCCGGGGAGCTGGGGACGGACCGAGGCGGTCCACAGCTGGCCGGGGAGCTGGGGACGGACCGAGGCGGTCCACAGCTGGCCGGGGGAGCCCGGGGACGGACCGAGGCGGTCCACAGCTGGCTGAAAGCCGGGACAGACCGAGGCCGTCAGTAGCTGGCTGGGGGAGCCGGGCAGGTTGCGGCTGATGGAGGGACGGCCGTACAGTTTTCATGCGTCGTTTGGTGCCTTTAACGCAGTATTTGTTGCAAGTCATTTCTTGAGCGCCGCGTGGCCCGCATTAGGTGTAAGCAGCCATCACGAGTTGCAATCTTTGGAAGCCGGTTGTGATAAATGTGTTGCTTTTTGAGCTACGTGGCGTGGTTCGGTCCTTTCTCCATGCGAGGTCCTGGCTGTTCGCTGTCTTTTTCCCACCACTGCTCGTCCTTTACATCCCGTTCTGTTCTCCCTAATATTCACCTTGGTTGCGTCTAGCTATAGTGCGTTGTGCTGTCTACTGTGTTCAGAATGCCCGCAATGTGTCCCTTCGTCGTACTGTCCTGTCTCATCCGGTCTTTGGCTCCGACCGCCCCCGGCCACGTCCCTGACCGCCGTATGACGACAGGTATCTGCTGCGGCCGCTGCTGGACACGCTGCGCGACGGCGCCGGGCCGGCGCGCGAGCTCGTGCTCTCGGCCTTCACCGAGATGCTGCGTCGCGACTGCGTGGCGCCGCTCTTCCACCCGTACATCGAGCTGGTGTTCGTGCGCGTGCTGGACGCGCACTGTGAGCCGAGCGAGCGGGACGTGGTGCGCGCTGCCGAGCAGTGCGCCGCCGCCATGGCCGGGCGCCTGCCGCCCGACAGCGTGGTGCGCGTGCTGAACGGCCTGGTGCAGACGGGCCGCTACCCGGTCAACCAGGCGGCCATCAAGACTCTGACGCGTCTGGTGGAGCAGCACAACCGCGAGCTAGTGCTCGGCTTCCTGCCCGAGATCATGCCCAGCCTGCTGAAGGTGACGCGGGTGGGGGTGGGCGCTGGAAGGGGACGGAAGGACGAGGGGCTGATGGGCCGGGTGTGCTGGGGTGGGTGTGGCGTTACCTATGGCGTGGTCTTGTTTTCATTTGCCCGGTGCCTGGTCGAGTTTATGCGCGCAGTGTGGGCTTGGGCTTGTACCGTTCGCTCCAGTTGCTGTTGTCTGGCCTCACGCTGACCTTCAGCAGCGGGCTGTCATTGGGCGGATGGTCTGCACTCTTCTGTCAGACACCGAGTCTATATTCCCCGCTGGCCACTGACGGTGCCTCCCGTCGCAGGCGTACGACAACAGCGAGTCGTCGGTGCGCAAGGCGGCCGTGTTCTGCATGGTCACCATCCACACGCTGTGCGGCGAGGAGGCCATGCAGCCCCACCTCGCCTCCCTCAACGCCACCAAGATGAAGCTGCTCAGCCTGTACATCAAGCGGTCTCAGGGCTCGCTCGAGTCGCCCACCGGCCAGCCCGGCTCGCCCAAGTAGCGGCTGGCCGCCGCGCCGGGGCGCGCATGGCACGGGTCAGCGCGCGGCGAGCGCACGTCTGCCATAGCGGGTATGAGCGGAGGTACGGCACCGGTGTGCGCTGGAGCGCCGGGCGGCCGCTGGTCGCCGCAGCAGCGTCGGCGAGGCGCCGGCGTGGTGTTGTCATTCCGAAGGCGCTTCGTGCGCGTGAACTGACGTACATTCCTGGGAGGACATTCCCGGCGGAGATTTGTTACACGGCTGTGTGTTCTAACTCACACATGACACCGTGGGCCCACTCGACTGTGTGTTCTAACCCACACATGACACATGGGGGCCCTTCGAGAGCCACACGGCGTGTCGGTGTGTGGCGGGAGCGTTCCATTCCACGCATGATAGCTTGGCACCGCGTCGCCGTCCGCTCCAGCGATGACTGACGAGACATGTGCGTGTGCTGGGGCAGGCGCTGACCCGTTGTTCGTAGTAGGCGGGTGTCTGCGTGCGAGGCAGCTTCCTGTGCAGCTGGGAACTGCTGGCTTACTCGTTAACGTTGCTGTGCGACTTTGCCACGGCCTGACACGCTTTCGATGATCCCGTAATGCTGGACAGGTGGAAGTTATGCGAATGGAAGAAGGAAGTGTGGATAGCGAACACGAACGTGTGAGCGCGCCATTGTGAGTATGCAATCCGACGGTGGTGTTTCGGACAGTGTTTGAGAGAGGCGCAGGATGGGGCGGGAGTTATGACGGTGGCGCGCCCTCAACTGACTGTGATGGCACCCGTCCAGGCGCGCGGCGCGGTCGTGCTGGCCGAGGGCGCCGACGCACAGGGTGGCCTTGACATATCAGCTGACAGGGTCAGTTGATGCGCCGGCTCGGTGTGAGGGGTCGTGCCCGACCCCGACAGGCAGCATTGTCGCAGACGTGGAGCGCTACATCTGCTGATCGAAGCACTCGATCGTTATGACTACCCCTTTTCAATGAGCTAAGCTATGTAGCGGACCCGAATGGACTAATAATAAACACCGAATGCCCACTCGCCGGTTTCTCCCATGAGTGGGAAGCAGTCGACAGTTTTGGCTGTGCAGCGCTTTGGACCGTTGACGAACGCTCCGGACGTACATCGCCCCTCGCCCGCCGAGAGCAAACACACGGATACGCCCAGCTAAGCCGGTGAGAGGCGCGATGGAAATGCAAGTTTGGAGTATTATGAAAAGAGATCAGTATAACAAACTGTCGGCGGGCCTCAGCCGTGCTCCGCGCAGGTTAGCCGGCCACGAATCGCAGAGAAAGAGGGAGATACGCGGCGGATCGGGCAGATAAGTGGTGCACATTTGCAAAGCAGCTCGAGTTATTTGCTAACCGAGAGCATTTCATAAGAGATCGTCACCTATAATTATTTGGCCCGCCGGTTTACACGGTCCTCACTGTCTAAAGAGCGAGACCCGCATCGATAATAGAACTAGTAAAGTTGTAATGCTACATTTGCTTAAAAGCTTGCCATACTTCCGTGATTATATGCAAACGATGACGACGCATGAGAACCTCCCCCACACAAGCGCGCGCGCACGTACGCACGCACGCGCACACCATAATCAAACGATGTTGAGATTAGAGGACGCTTTAACAGACACCCTCATGCCCTCTGAGCTTTCCCGCGATATCGATAGGGACGGATTTCCAGGTGACGGCCGCAACGCAGGCAGCTTGCGCCTCGCCATCCCGGTTCGGATTCTGTGAGATCCCGTTTGTGGTGCTGCCTAGTGCTTCTTCGTCGAGTGAGCTGCCGCTAACTGAAGTACTGTCATTACCCAGTTGTGGTGTCAACCAGGACGATCCAGCATTGGCCTTGTGCTCAGAACTAGGCTGGTACGGGTATGACGAACTGAAATTAACAATATATGTTAAACTGAGACGTCGCCTGAGGTGCTGCAGCGCTAAGTTGTTCCGTTGCCCAGGAGAAATTGCAGAATCCATGCTGCGTCTTAGAGTCCATTCTTCGTGAATTTTGCCAACATGCTAAGGACCTATTCCGGGGACGCCACAGCATGAAGTGACTCGAAATCTGTGCTCCGGATTTCACATGCCCCGCGGTTAAGAGGTCACATGCCTCAACGGCGGTCATTCCCGCGAACAGGAGAGATCGGAGGGGGCGCCCGCCGTCGCCTACGGGCTAGAACATCGCTCGACAGACGGTGCCGGCGAGGGGCGCGGCGCCTCCATACAGCGATGCCCTGAACCCCAGCAATGCCTGTGCGGTAACGCAGGCAGCGGGGGGGGGGGGGGGGGCACAGGAGGCACGTGCTCCCGCTATGGGTTCCGCGGGGCCCTTCGGCGCCCTCGGAACCTACGATTAAGGGCCCGGAAGACCGGCCGGAGGTCGCATCTAGAGACCTCGGTCCGTAGGGCCGGGCACTCCAATGCCAGTCAGAAGGCCCTGCGCACTGGTCAAGGTCCCACTGAGTCGACACGAGCCTATATTTCGTCGGGGCCCTACAGAGCCCTTACAGGGGCCCTGTGTTGGCAAGGGCCCCGAGTCGGCCACAGGCAGTGACTGAGGAGGGCCGAAGAGGGTCCGATGATCAAGGGCCCGATTGCAGGGTCTAAGGGCACAAACGGCTAGTCGGAGTCTGATTCGGAGGCCCCAGCCTATGAAGGCGGACTCTCAAATAACGGCCAGGGACCCTGTGCACCGATCGGGGACCCCTTAAATCGATATGGGCCCATGTCTCGGTCAGGTACCACCAGTACCGCATAGTTGGCTCCGTGTCGGTATGGTCCTGAGGACCCACCTCCCAATCAAATAATCCCGCAGGCAGTGATCCCGGGACACATAATGCCCAATCCTGGGGCGGTGGTCCCGGGGCAAATAATGCCCGATCCTGGGGCAGTGATCTCAGATGTTAGTAACAGATGGCTGACACCCATAGGGACCCCTGAGATAGAGCGCTCCTTTACTTCGGCCAGAAGTCACGAACAGCGAACAGTGGGCCTCCCAATTGATTTGAGTCCTGGGGGCCCATTTCCCAAGAAGGGGACAATGCCGGGCGGGCGATTTACATCAGTCGGGACTTCTATATCGCTCAGGGGCCCACAGTGCCCAACAGGGTATCTGTATCAACAAAGGGCCTCGAATCGGCCAGGGGAAGATTTGCGAGCAGGGACGGGGACGGGAGCCCGAATGACTAAGGGCCTCCCGCGTTGGTTGGGGCCTCCTGACGATTTAATGAAACATTTGATGAGTGGTCATGCTGAGGCAATGAAGGGTGCTGTGCCAGTCAGGGCCCCCGTACCAAACGTTGGTCCCTCCGACCCAACTGCAGAATGGGCCCGTTAAGCCGAACGCGGATCTATGTGCCAATTATTTGACCACCTGCGGCTGTCAGGGATGTTGTTGCGTCAATGATAGTTCATACGTCGGTCCGGGGTCAAGCTGCGCGGGTCAGAAGGCCCCCGCGTCAGGGAGTGGACCAATGCGATATGATGCATCCCTCTACGGGGTTCCGGATCGGCCAGAGGATCGCGCAACAACGACCATCGCAAAATGATGTCTCTAAATTCCTTTCAAAATCAAGCCGTGCGGTTCAAAGATTACACTGAGCAAATCATTTTTTTACAATTGTGTGGTTGTCCTGCGGACAGCTTAACATCTACAGTAGCAAGACAAAAAGAAATTTTAGCTTACTCTTCCAATTTCACCACCAGATTCCAGGACCATTTCGCGGTGTTGTACAAGCCAACCTCTTATTATCATCAAATCTAAAAATGACATAGGTGAAATGTGCACCCGGAATATCTCTATATGTGCTATTTTGTGTCCTAAAGCGCTCAAAGGTACTTCTTTCAAATGCATCATCTTTTTCGTCCACCTGTAGGCTACAGCCTAGTGTTGGTCGCGGGGCCGATGCTGCGCGGCCTGAGGAGGCTGCAACGCCTGGCGTCGAGGTTTTTGTAAGATTGCGAGCGGGCACGTTCAAGCCTGCGTACAAATTTGTACCACCCAATCGATTCTGCCTGAATGCTGAACATTTGCAGGACAAGCATGGCTTAATCAAGGCAATAAAAGATGTTGACCAATTTTAGCTATGATCTATATTCACATGGTCCCTAGTAACTCTGTAAAATCCAGAAAAAAACTCTGGCAAAGTTTCTTCGTCCTATATCGGTTTAAAACAGTCCACCAGACTATCGTAAGACGAAAAGCACCATCGATTTATGTCATGCAGTCATTTAATGCATGACTTCTTCGGTTCGTTGAATTTAAAAACGTCAGGCAGAATTGATTCTTGCGGTTTTTTTTACCTCCACTTCAGTTATAAAGGGTAACAATAGGTATATATGCTATATGTTATAACGTATAGCAATATATATATATATATATATATATATATCTATATATAATGTGTGTGTGTGTGTGTGTGTTTTTTTACTAACAGCGGGCCCTTTGTCAACCCTGTGCCCCCCCTTGCCAACTCTCTGGTTGCGCTCCTGGACCCGTGCCACCCAAGGTGCTACTGGTCGTTGTCCGGCCGAACGCCCACGCCGTGCCGAAACCCACAGCGCTTCATGCCGAAACGCGCAGCGTACCGCACCATGGTGGATGAAATGTTTTGCGTAACTAAATTTTTAAGAAGTCTTTTTACGAGCGCCGCACCACCGTTTTGCACCGTCATTGCAGCATCTCGGCTTAATATCATTCCGGCAACCTTTTCATCCGCTTTACAAGTATCATTCACCAATTATTGTCAGTTCGGTATCAAGCCGAACTGTCATTTGGACACCAAACTGAACAGTCATTGGTGTTCCGTACAAATCTGCCTTTACACGGTTTCCTTTTTTGTGAAATGTCGGCTTTGCTGTCCTGTCTCTGAGCTTCTGTTTTTTCTCCATTTCTCGGTCCCCTGTCGAGTTTCCCTTAGATTTGTTTTGTTTAGTTACCGGCCCTGCGGCCCCGGCCCTACGGCCAGCCCGGAAACTGCGCCACATGTGTCGTGTCCTGTGCGGGGCCGCGCCGCCCGGTAACCGGGGCAGTTGTCCTCGCGAGCGACGCCAAGGAGAGGACGCGTATGTCCTCTTCCTGGCCCGATATTCAAACCTCAAAATATAGCAGCAGCCGACGGATGCGTGTTGAACGAATCGAACGATACCGAACAATTGGTGTTCAAGTCACGTCCGCATAAGCCGGAGGGGGGGGGGGGGGCGTGCTCTTGCATCCCATAGCCCAGTTCCGTACAATTCTGTACTTATGGCTATAGGATTTCGCAAATTGTCGGATGAAACCCTTTCTTGCGCTTAACCCAACAGCAAATTATCAAAGACAGGGTCTTCTCGTGGGTTGGTGCAGCCAGGCGAAGGCTCGTATCACACTAAGCATTCATATTTTTTAGAACCGTTTTCTCCACCCGCCAGCCCAGAAACGCCGTCTTGGAACGCCACTACATACCAGGGCGGAAGCGGTAGCGCTGAGCCCGTGCTCATAAAGAAACCGCCGCAAGGAAGAATGAGCCAGTTTGGGCAGGGGAATAGGGCACTAGCTTCTCAAAAGTGTGTGCCTAGTACGGTATCGAAGCATACTATAAGTATACCAGAATTGGAATCAAATCTAGATTTGGAATGTTGTACCCAAAAGTTGGCAGTTACTGAGCTGGCGGCATCTTTGGCGTAGTTGTTGCGATTCCATGAAATTGCGTTCATCAGTCGTAAAACGCTCAATGTTTGGCGAAGTACGGTGAAGTACGACCTTGGGTGCGGTGGTGGAGACCTAAAAGCTGCGGGGTCGGGTCGTTTTGAAGCAGTTTCACAGGCATCTAGGTAAGACTGATATATGTTGTTCTGTGCCCACTCTATTACGGCTTATTTTACACATTATGACTCGCTTGTATCATTCTGCATCATTGATCGGTGACCCAGTTAATTGCAGTGAGTCAGTTATAACTGTGTGACATGCATATATAGGCATACATATATGGTATAATATATAGGTATGCATATATAGGCTACTGGCTGTTGAGCGCTGCATGATGAGCAGTTGTTCAGGGTGTTCTAAGTTATATGAATGTAGCAGCTGAAAATTGTATTGTTCAGCTGAAATAGGAATATATCAGCCATTTTTATCTTATTAATGATTGGTCTTTCAGTATCTAACACATGCAAACATAGCAATACACTGTTATCTTTACAAATGTTATCACTTGCAAGATAGGCCAAGTACCATTATACTGATTCCTTACTTTTGCAAGATAATGTTTGAATCTGTCATTGGGAAATAAATGGCAATGGAAGATAATTGAGACAATTTCTTATGATGTTTCTATGCATGTGTATGTTATGATACTTCTCTGAGGGAATTTATCAGCCTGCTTAGGGTAGGTCATTTGATGTAAAAATGGTTGAATTTTGTAGATGATTCAGCTTCGCTTGGAGTTGCAAGGTTCTGAGCTTTCCAGATCAGGAGTACAAGCATATGGTCAATAATTAGTGGGCTGTGGTGAGGGCTTGTCCTATCTCATGCCTTACCCCTAAGCAGTCTAGTTTCGCATTGACATTGGAACGCTTCATTTTGACCAAGTGGTATTTTCATTTTGTAGTTTTGTTTCATTTATCCAATAGTCCAGCTACTGCCATCAATGATGCCCTGAGTAGGTGGCCATTGTGCAATGTTTAAATTTTGCTTTAGCTTTTGTACCATTCAAGCAACAATATGAGAAGGGCAAACCAATATTTATTGGTACATGTCAACATTGTGTGGGGGAGGGGGGGGGATGACTTCATCACAAAATGCAATTGCCAGATGCACTTGTCTGCAACCCAAGGTCTTTTATTACATGACCTGTTTCTTGACAAATGCACCCAGTGTAACCAGCAAATATTGTAGTTGGCAGGTGCAATGGTTTAAATTGTTCCTGGAATTTGCGGTGGATGGTAGGATAAAATACCTTTGTGAGTTATGCCAAATCTTATGCAATTAGACCATACAGGATACAGGACTTGCATCTGAGTTTATTTTGCAGAATTATGCCCCTATTCCCAAGACTTGAGAAACATGCATCCCACTTATGGCAGACCTATCCACAGGGTCCAGTGGGTGGGAAGGAGAGATTCTGCAGAGTTCAAGATCATCAGTTGTAGTTGTGACACACAATTTGCCCATGAGCCATTAACAGATAGCTAGCACATTTTGCTGTTCAAAGACCATGGCAGACACAGTGCCTTGCATTCAGTATGGCAGTAACAGCTTTCTGCGGACGTGTGCGACGCACGAGTCGAGTCGATCGATACATGATTACAGTTCGGCATAACATGACGGGCCAACACATACACTACCCCAGCCTCCGACCGGCACATCGGTTGATGACCAGGACCTCAGCATTGGAAAGGCGACGGCACCGGCGACACGGTGGCAGTCCGTTTATGCTGGTTCTACTTCAGTGACTCGTGCAGGCGCCTCTTTTGAAGAAACCGTCGGTTCCTTACTGCGCACTATCCCGTGGCGTCTGAGACGGCGCCGTCGGCGGGACAGCCGGAGCGTCGATGGACGGCAGGCAGCAGCAATGTCGCCGTGTCATCGCTGCTGTGCTGGCCGTGAGGCGGCACTGTCAGCCCTGCGCAGCAGTGGTTGCCAGCACCACAACTTAAACCCCTAGCGCAGTGCCTGGTCCTAATTCCGGCTGCGCTGGGTATGGCCGGCTTTGGGCGGCTACTGTCGCGATGGTTTCATACGTCGGAAGCAATAAAGCTATGCGCCTTCTGCTACAGGTTGTTGCCTGTAGCCCGGTAGCTGCATTACACCTATCAAGCATACTTTATAGATATTAAAACGCATCGGGTATATTTCTTGTGCTAACTCTCAAACATATTCCACAGCACAGTGGCAACATGTGTAGGATATATATATATATATATATATATATATATATATATATATATATATATATATTCAGAAGCTCGCTCATGGTCAATAGTGTAATTGGCAATCAGTGGCCGTATTCACTCTGTTTCTGTCTCAACTTTGCTGAAAAGAGTTGGCGGAGACAAGATTCGGTCCCACGCCTAGCCATCGCATCGTGGGTATGAGTCTACGCTTTACCCAATAGCTCGAAAAGGAGCGCCATGGCGCACTTACTGACCTCGAAATTGAAAGAAAATTGTTCAAGCTTCATTTAAATGTACTTTGTATGCATATGTATGTTCAAAATTAAGAAAATCAGTGACCTGCAAAGTTGCATTTTAACACGCGATCGAGTGGGGGACCCCCCGAAAGTTTTTCCGGAAGGTTTCCAAACAGCGCAGCGTAGCCGTTTTGCATAGCCGTGGACAGTTGAATAGCGGATCGTCTGACATGAACAATTTAGATGTACCTTGTACGGTCAATGACCCATGGTAGGTCGAAGTCAGGCCATGCTTTCAGCGAAGGCAGTTTCGAGGGAATCGCTCAATCTTATCTAATTACGGAGTGTTGGACTAAGCCATACATCTCTGAGATACTTTTTACGTAACACAACAATTGAATAAAAAAATTACATTGGCCTATGGTCAGGTATGAAGGTCACGCCAATGTTAAAACCAGCCTGCTTTATTTCTCTAGGGCTTGCTGTATGGGGCATTCCTGATGCTTATTTCATAGTTATTGATAACAGGAACGGCATTATACACCTTACATGAACTTCTTAAAGGTTGGAATAGGTCACTGACATAGAACGACCAAGGTCAACATTTTGTTTTTGGGAACCTACTGCCTAGCGTAATCTTCGTCGCTTATTCAATTGCAAAACCCAATTAATTCTTGTATGATTTTGTTCATGAATTTCAGAAGGTCAAACAAGGTCACCGACCTTATATGAACATGTGAACTTTTGCTTAGAACAGTTATCCAGGTTCTGAAGCCCTTTGGAAACCAACCTGTAATTTTACCTTGTTTGACCTTGTTTCACCCCAAGGTCATGACCTAGAAGCCTCGAACTGTGGTCTAGGTGAGTTCACGTACAGGTCAACACATCCCGTAAATTTAGTGTCTCTAGCTCTCTTAGTTCCTGATATTTCAGGGGGGGGGGGGCATATTGATTCACCCCCCCGAGCGAAGGGTATCCAAGCGGCTACTCGGGCTCGTGTTGACATGGGACTATATCGGGTGATCATGAAATGTGCGCCGTTGCTGCCACATCTTATACTAGATTTGGACCCTGGCTAGTACCGTATTCAGAGCTGGGGGTTGTTGGGAGTGACAAGTGGGGTGTTGGTTTGTGATGTCCAATGTTGTCGGGGATTGAAGAGTGCGTCTGGGGGATAGGGGGAAGTGTGTGTGTGTGTGTGTGTGCGTGTGCATGTGCGTGTGCGTGTGCGTGTGCGTGTGCGTGTGCGTGTGCATGCGCGTGTGCGTGTGCGTGTGCGTGTGCGTGTGTTTCGCAGGTCGTATAAATGAGGGTTCAGCTGTTGTTAGTATAAAAGGGCAAGTAGCCGTTACCCGTCTAGACTAGGCCCGAGCATCCCGGGGTCAAGTGGGTTGTCTGCTACAAGCAGTTGTTTCGCGATCTGTCATTAACACGGTGCCTATCCAGGCGTCCGCTGAACTTCGGACCGGCTGTGAAAATGGACAAGAGCAAATTTCTTGCACTCGCCCGGAAATTCAATTGTGTTTTATTTGAAGGTAAGTTCTTGTGTTGGGTTCCTCAATTCACTGAAAGGTGCAGATTCGGCTTGGCGGTGAATTTTTCACAATGCCTGTATGTCTGTCTGTCACAGTACCTATATGTGGACATTCGTGTGCATTAGGTGCCTCATGGTCGGTTCACAGCTCATTACGTTGTTTTATTGTGCCTAGTTCAGCCATTTTATATTGATCTTGCTTTCAGTGAAGATGAAGAATGAATACATGGCTGAAATATTTATATTATGAGGTATTGGCTGATAACAGTTGTAACAAATTTGTTTCAAAAACATGAAGGCACTCATGCAGTATGGTCCAGGAGAGATAAATCATGTTTGTATAATCTGTGGGTTTTAGGGCATATATGCCCCACCGCATGAGGTGTTGCACCCCCACCACCCAAGCAGATACCAAGGATAAAGTAGATGAAATCCAGAAAGAACACTATTTTCCAAAATTTTGTAAAGAGGTAAGGCCAATTTTCTCTGCTCAGCCCCATTTACTTACCCTGCAGAACTTCCCTGCTAGATTGTCTATCCATCAGCCAGCAGCCCTCCTCCGGGCGGCATAACTCAGTTGTCCCATTGTCCACTAGATAATGGGCTGCGCTCCGGCACGCTGCCGCTGGTGGTGGCTGGCCACACAGTGGGCCTGGTGCGTGCCGAGCTGCTGCCGCTGGTCGGCGCTGCATCCATCTTCCGCGTGTCCGAGAGCGCCGTCACGCTGGACCCCCGTGCTGGACACGCCCGCCGCCCGCTCAGAGGCCATGGCCCAGCTGCTGGAGCGGTGGCGCGACCAGGAGGACCTGGTGGCTCAGAGGCTGGCGTAATGAGGTGGGTGGCGCGACCAGGAGGGCCTGGTGGCGCTCAGAGGTGGCGTAATGAGGTGGGTGGCGCGACCAGGAGGGCCTGGTGGCGCTCAGAGAGTGGCGTAATGGGTGGGTGGCCGACCAGGAGGACCTGGTGGCGCTCAGAGAGTGGCGTAATGAGGTGGGTGGCGGCCAGGAGGGCCTGTGACGCTCAGAGGCTGGCGTAATGAGTGGGTGGTGCTCATTACTTGGTGCTGGGGAGTGGGTGGGCACGGAGAGCGGGTGAGACGGGCCCGCTGGTATGTTGGGCAGCGCTACGGCAGCCCGATGCGGCGGACGTCAGCGTCAAGCCCGTCGATTGCGCGGGCAAATGCGAGCCCACAAACACTTATGCAAGCTCCAGCGTCGAAGCGTTAGCAAAGAGACCCATGTTTTGATGAGCCCGGGCGTCGGGTGAAGGGCTGCGAGTGCGCGACCTGCTTGCTCTGTGCTTTGTCTGCCCGGGTCGACTTCTACGGTGTTCTTTCCATTTCAGTGCTACGACGTGCGGGTCTCCTTTTCCAGTCAGCCTCT